TGGAATCAGGCTACATGTATCTTAAGATTCCACAATTAATAGTGATCATATATAGAGAAGTGAAAAATACGAATACACACTCATTAAATTCAGTTTTCTCTTCGATATTTTGGTATCCATGTTTAGCTTCTGTCACTCAAAATCTATGCACGGAAATTTCTACCAAGTTGTAACTGATTAACAATGCCTCTGTAGTCTATTATATAGACATTTCAATTTATTAGTTCAGGTAATTGATTGTCCAGGTACTCTTTTATCCCATTATTCTTCATTTATTTTTCATTCTTAATACCTGATATAGGTAACAGAAATATTACAGAATTGCACTGTAATATTAATATCGTTACAAAATTGTTAAATTTGAGGAAGACGTTTTTCCAAAGTTGCATAATGACAAAAAGAAAATTGGAGCTTTTCCCAGTATACCGTTGCATGGCCCGGAACTCCGCTATTCCGTAACGAAAAAGGAGGCTTCGGCAGTATTATTTGCTCTACAAACATGAAGAGAATTCGTGCTGTGGCAACAGTTGACTGCCATCAGCGATCACAAGTCTCTCACGTTCATCAAGACCTGTAGATTGTTAAATGCTAGGTTGACTAGGTGGGTATTGTTTATTCAGGAATACGACATACATTTTGAATATTGTCGGGAAAAAGATAATCAATGCATAGGAGTGCCAGAAAAAAATGATGTTGAAGTCATCACGGTGAAGTACTCGGAGCTGTGTAGGGCTGTCAAGAAAAGTTTCCAGAGTATTCTGAGGTCTCAACAAGATAATTCGTTTTGTAAAAGTGTGCAGAAGGACCTTGCTGACGATTTGTCTGAGACCACTAAGTGGTTTAGAATTCATGAGGACTTTTTATTCCTAATGGGATTGCAGAATAGTCCCAAAAAAAATATTTTTCCCTTTAGAGCACATTCTTCAATTGATTTTTCAAGAACTTGAAGATAATGCTCATTTTGACTATAAAAAGTGTTTTTAATCCTTACAAGGGTTTCACTAAGTCCCGAAGATGCATAAAAGGATACGTCAGATTGTGGCAGAATGTACAGTATGCCAGAAAACAAATATATTTCGTCACTCTGTGGAGGGATGAGTTTCGTACTCCCTTCTTCAACGCATGAAATCTTATGTGTGGATCTTCTTGGTCCGTTACTGATGGCAAGAGCGGAAGCCACGTTCGTATTGGTAGTGGTAGGCGCTTTCAGTGAGCTCGTGAGGCTCTTTGCAATTTGCAATACTAGTGGCACTGAAACGTACCACTAATATAGTGATAGTTCAATATCTGAAGAAAGTTGTGTTTTCGGACACCCAGTTTGTGGTGAAGAAGTACCCTCCTCTTTTTCAACCACGTTCTATAAATGTTCGGAGGATCACCATTTCACATTCAGTTTGAATAACCCAACGTACTCGAATAGATGAGTAAAAGTATTACTGCAAAGTGACGGAGAGTATTACGTCAGGAGTATACACAGCAATCCAGGTGAACATATTTTATATTTCGATACCATAAATCCACTATATTCGAATTGGATCATTCAAAATTTAATGTCGAAAAGATCAATTCTGTAATAATTCAACAAATTTTGGCTATGGTGCAGAATTCTTCAAAATTTTTGACTATAGATCCAAAATTTAGATGAGTTCTGTGAGCTAATAATTGAAGCAGACCTGAAGCATTTTTTTCACAGCATATACGTCTACCTACCACAAACTATCATAGAGAAATATCAATTGGAATCACAGAGTCCCAACCCACAGCCGGAAAAATCTCTAAATAATGATGTTGTGAATATTTGAAATCTAATGTGTATGATATAAACATCATATCGGGTTCATACATCAAATCATCTGTGATAACAACAATTTTTTCCTTCATACAACTGCATGAAGTTTTTACTGAAATACCTCATTTTTCCACATCGTGAAAGATGAAAATTTTCCTCTAAAAACCTAAAACTACCTCATCTACGTTTATATTGATAGCCTCCTATTTTTCTTATAAAATATTGTAACATTTTTTCGTCTCAATTTCAATTTATGATAATATTTCATTTCGTCCTCCTTCTACATTCGTTACCGTAATTAACTAGTTTTCGTATCATCCAAGTTTATTCGTCCTTCTAAACGTAGTTAATATCTTCCATAACAGATGGTGCTAACAACTGTCATGCCACTTCGTTTTCGGAAAATCATTTTCTATATCAGAACTATTCCCATCATCGCTGTCCACTTGGTCTCCTGGACCCTACTGACCGTCGGACGAAGACGTCACGTCATCTGGAAATCATGTACTTGGACTCTTATGGGGCTCCGATGAGCAATAAGTCTGACTATGAGAGAACGATATTCTAAATAGATACATATCATCCTCAGATACATATCATTCTCAGGTACATATCATCCTCGAAGTCAGCCCATGTGTTCCAGTTGACTGACTTCATTCTTCGTCCTTTGATCAGTAGAACTCAATCAAAACATAACATTTCTTATTTCTGAATTAAAACAGATCCTGATTTTGGTTTGGATTGAAATACAATTTTTTCTGTTATCTTAGTGTCTTGTCAGTGATGAAGAGAATAAATACATGGAAGGACCAAATTGTATTTTAAATTACATCTGTATACAGGGCTTTTCATGATGAGCGTTAATTATTCGTTTCTGGCAAACTATTCAACGGATCAACCTGAAAATTCCACAGTATGCATAGGTCAATATGACCTACAGGCCTAAAATAGTTTAGACGAAACGGCGTTGTCGCTTCTACTATAAAGTAGCGGCTTCATTGATTCTTCAAATGGAACACCCAGTATATAATATCATATTATGATTCATTATCACTTTGTCAATAAATTCATATACTATTTCCCTATACCTATCTATTACCGTTTAGAAGATATAAATTAATTTCGATATTTTTTTTACCAAACATGAACTTTTATAAATGCTGATAATCTTGAACTCTCTTGCACTAAAACGATCAAATTTGAAATGGAGTGGAGTGATACTATGAGGATCTTCACTCCGAGTCATATTTTCATTTGCCTCATACAGGGTCTTCAAAAAATGCAGATACTTTGATCTCATGAAAAAATGAGTG